ATATATATATATATATATATATATATATATATATATGATATATATATATATATATATATATATATTTCATATAGTATTATACATATACGCTCGTTATATATTCTGAATATTATATATTTTTATTGTGTAAGTACAATAAATTGCTACACACAATGACTAATTCAATTTTGGACGCGTAATTCATTCGCACGAATTAACGATTAACGAGTCCACGCACTCGATCCCATTCAAAATTACCGTGAAAACGGAAACTCTGTCCATCACTGGTCCGATTCATCGACTAGTGCCAGTTCTGGACCGCTGCTGCATCCGCAGACGTGATGCGGTCGACGTTCGCTCTCTGCCAAATTTTTGTAAATATAGACTTAGGTCGCAGAGATCGAACGGAATATCGATGTCTTCGATGCTCGATCGTTCTTTTCACAACACAACATTAGTAACATGCAATGTTAATTTATCGATTTGCAGACCTCTTCGTTGTATTTTTTAGGAAACAAGAGGGAAACATAGATTAACACTGATGAATCTTTAAATATCGACATTTCGCGTCCGCACCTGTCTTATCTCGGGGTTTTGTACGGAATCCGGCAGTGATGGAAGTTCAAACGATACAAATGAGATTTTTGTCAACAACACTGAAAGAGCACATCGCACTGAAAGAGCACAACGCACATCGTAATACCGCAAAGTTGGAACTTTGAAAATTTCGATTAAAAATTCTGCATTTCGAGGGCGCGAAGCATGAAGTTGCAATTAATTGTTCGCATCGGAGGTACACGTAAAATTATTAACATTTTAACTTTTCGATGATACGCTCTGATTTCGCTGAACCACGTAATAAAATTTCAATGGCTTTAAATTACAATGTACGATCCACATTTGTTTTTATTTAATTAATTTTTCTTTCCAATATTTTCTACAATTTTCCGCTTGTGGAAATGAATACTCTGTAATAATGAGAAAATGTCTGAACATATCTTTATATTTTCATTTTTTGAAATATTTTTCGACGAACGTACGAGCGCATTTCGTTCACATTTACGGATGCATTTCCTTCGGTAAACAAGAGCAAAAGGTTTTGCTCCACTTTATTCATACGACCCAATTATCGCTAAAACTTTCTGGCCAAGGTTGCAAGAACTGGGAATGCATCTGTTCCGGGCAAGTCTGAATTATCCGGCACGAAGTGGGCCGAAGTTTACACACACGTTCCGCCGCCGCGAACAAAGTTCGAAATTAAGTCTTTGCGTTCGTGTTTTATCAATCGATAGATCGGCGGTAAGTATTCCGACAATTCTCCTCGATTTCATATCCTTCCGATAAATACGCGATTAATTGAATTCCCATCACTAGCCGGTCGTCCGGCAGCGGCAGCAGCAGCAGCACCTTGTACAAACACGAATTTTACGGTTGAACGGAGGGCGAATGAATTTTAATAACACGCCGCCACGTGTAAAAGAAACAAAACGGCGAATCGATTTGGAGCGGTTTTATTTTTCGCTCGCGCGAGAACAAGAAAGCGGTATTTTAGATTTCTAGAGAGAATCAAGATTGATTATATTTTAGTAACGCGTTTGATAGTCGAGTCATAAAGTATTTCGAACGATACGTGCGAAAATATCGAGGAAAATGCACGTGCGAGGCGATATAAGATGGGGGTAAGGAGAGAGAGTGAGAAGGAGAGAGGCGTCTCTCTCCTTCTGTCTCGTACTTTCGGGAACGTGCCTGGATGAAGATGGTTTGATAGTTATTAAGGGCGAAGGATCGAGATAAGAATTTAAGACGCGAGTCTTCTTTTACTTGTGTGCTTTTAGAGACAAAAGACATGTAGCGTGTCGTGTATCGATTGTCTTTAATGTAAACAATCAATCAATTTTCGTTCGCTGCTCATCAATTCGCTCGCTCTATCCTGAGGCTGCGATCGCTCGTCAACAGACACGAGCATACAGCATTTATCATTCAGGATACACATACACGTATATATACACCTGTACATAAACCTGTACACGATTAATTAAGTGCGAGATTTTAGAGAGATTAAGTAAGATTAACTGGCGAGAACTTGGTTACGAGCGAGTGGCGTTAAACGTCACATGCAGACACCCTCTTCTTTATTTTTGTCATATCGACACTTGGCCGATAAATAAAGTATTAGATCACGAGGAATAAACGAGCGATCCTGTCTATCGATTATTCACGTTCACATGAAACCCTGTTCCTTCTATTAACTCGACTCAGACTGACCCCAGACTTTCCTTTGTATATTTTCACGCGCAAAGACGATCAATAGCAGTAAGAATTTGACGAGTAATAAAAAAAATGCCATATTAGTTGTGCTATAATAGTCTCCGATAGACGAGACGCGTGTTATTCTTTTATTTCGGATAAAAATCTTATATTGGCAATAAAAGACAATGTTTTTATGCGCTACAGAACGTAAAAACAAAAATGTGACTTTTTAAAGAGCAAATAGCATTTACTAAACTGTACCAACATGGATCGAAAAATAAATCTTTTTAAACATAAAAACAATTTTTGGTTTCGATAATACAGGCAACTTGCTTGTATTTTTACAGAATTTCGTTTTGCATAATTGATTTCTCTCGTCGTTTTGCATATAAAAGTTAATTTTGAGTAGTTTTGATGGTGGTAATTTTTTTACGCAAATTGATTAAAAATTTTTTAATCCGTTTAGTGAGTTCTCTAAATTTCAAATCCCTTTTTTTTTACATTCTGTATATTGTCTAAAGTATTACTTTCATAATTATTCAAATAGATATTACTATGGAATTACGTGAATGGAATTTATTGATAATTCCGATATCACTATTATCCAAAATTAATTAATCGCCCGGCAGATAAATAAGATGTACGGTAGTTAGCAGGAGAGTTTCCGGAATATAAGTAGCAGAAGAGAAATTACAACCTCCGCTCTTTCTACTGCGTGATAAAGAAAAAGAACGACCCATAACGAGAGCCATTTTCAAGCACTGCCTCCAATATGTCCAGGATGGAAACTACCGTAGTGCTCTAATCGAGCTTGTCCTACTTTCTCTCACCTTCTGAACCTTTTGTACTGTAAATGTTACTGCTGTAATAAAAAGTTATGACCGCTGTCGCGAGGCGGAAGGGGGAATGAGACATGTTTAAGCACGATCGTGTATTTACGTGCAAAACCATCTCAATACCGGATTTCCATTAATTTGTTAATGACGAACACGGATTGATACAATAATTTCATTTCCATTGCACAATACTATATAAGAGATATTCACGCTCTTGATTGTAGGATAATTAAATACTTCGTTAACCGTAATTAATAGGTATACGCTTCTAATCATTCCCTTTCATCAATTTTGTATGAAATATAAAGTGCAGATAAAGCTTATAAATCGTTGAAATTGGAGTTTGCATTTGAAACGCGAGCGGAATATATATTTGTATATACAGAGTGTCCCAGACCAACCCGTTAATAGTAGATTCCTGAAGTTACGGAGACGAAAATCTAAGTCACTCCGATTTCGATTTTGATTTCGGAGCGATTTTATCCTTGATATGTTTATTAGCACTCTTATTATGCGCACGGCGACACCTTGTACGAGGCAGATCGTTTCGTGTCGACGCGTTATCCTGTGCAAAAGTACGGTCCTTATTATTTTCCATAATTTTC